CAAATTATATTTATTAATGTATAAATAAAACTTCTTTTAAAAAATTCAAAAAAATAGATTTAAAATTATCTTCAAAGAATTTTCTCATTAAATAGATATTAGCTTTAAAAAAATGAGTTATGCGTAAAATTATTGGAAGAATGTAATCTTGAAAATAGATTTGAAGAAAAAAAATGAGTTTTGTAAAAAGAGGAGCCCGTGTTTGAGCACCATTATTAAAATATTAATTTTTTAAACTCATTTTCAACTAAATATTTTCTCAATAAAATAATTTTGTAATAAAATATTTTACATGTAAATCAAAAAACTTGTTTCTACATTTAACTACCTATTTTTCAAAAAATTATTATTACAAAACTCATTTTGATGAAATGATGTGCATCAACATGGCTATATTTCAACTGCATATTCTCCAAAAATCAATATTACAAAATTTATATTCCTTAGAAATGGGGTTTGGACAAGTCCTAAATATAATCATTTCTCTCACCTCCAACTCTCTCTCTTAGTTATTAAAGATAATTGTTGCTCTTGGTGATTAGATTTTGTGACCTCTAATAAAAAATTTTGTGATCTATAACTCAATAAATTTTGTGAATAGGATATATTATGCATTACACATTATACTTATGTTTTATTATTTTGATTTCATCCTGCCAATAAAGAGTAAATTTGGTTCAAGAAAGATTGATATCGAGCTTTAAGTATTTCTTAATTTTATTGTAAATTAAATAATGTTTTATGCTTAACACAGAAGTAACTTGATTATTGAAAGTAGAATTAAAAGGTAAGGATTTACTTAATTTTGTCGAGAAAGAATCAAATAATGGGCCACGCCAAGTTTAATCAAGTATTGGATTTAGCCCGAGGCAGAAGGCTTTGAACCTTGGCTTGGCCCAATCATGATATAGCAATATGCAGTGAATCTCAAGTATAGCAATTAATTGTTGACTTTGACTTAAATATTTTAATAGATTTTTTACACCAAACAGGATGAGTAATTCTTGTTATACATAGAAATGATAATTATATAAATATGACACCTCATTGTGATTAAGCATAATTAGTCCTTAGCTCTCTACACAGTATTCATATTTTGCTCAAACAAATATTTGGCCAATAATACAAAATCTCGGTCTTTTTAAAAACTTTGAATTTTTGTTCAAACTTAAAATAAAAAATATAGGCCCTGTTTAACCCACATTCTTTCAAAAAAATACAAGTTTTTCCGCTGTTAATGATATTTAGAAAGATTAAATGGGCAACATGCAGATAAAATAATAGCATAATTAGCATCCTCTCTATTATTATTATTGTTGTTGTTGTTGTTGTTGTTGTTGAATTTAATTGTAAGCATGCTAAGAATCAAGGATCACAATCGAAACAATTCATGGATAAGGGAAAATATATTTTATTTTTGGACAAAATCGTAATTGAAGATAAGATTGGTTGGTTAGTGAAATGTTAAAGATAAAAATGTGATTAAAAAGAATTAAGAATATAAATGTGACAATAAATAAATGTTAAGTTTTTCTAATATAGTTAAAATGTGGTGTGAATAGAACGACCCTTTGCAGAAAATTAATCAAAATCGTATTCCCAAAAGTGAAAAATGAAAATAAAAATGCAGCTATAAAGTTACATAAATACCCTGTATCCTCTCAATTGCATCCCCAATTACAACGCAACCTAAAAGCGTAGAAGATAAGTCCAAGATTAAGTATAGTTTGGTTTGGATAAAATTGGATTTTCAATAAATTTTGGTAAATTTTTTTAAAGAAATGTGATTGAGAAATTAATAAAAGATGTGGATTCCATAAATTGTGCAATTTAAAATTAGTTTGAGGTAACAGCTTGAACGAGTTGAACGTGATGGTGATGGTTGCAACAAGAAAAAGAATTTGGGCGCCAAAAAATAGAGATTTGTACTTGAAAGAATGTCGGAAATGGCTCAAGTTAAGAAGCAGATTTAGTTAGTGAAGTTCAAATTGTTGTACGAAGTTGATGAAGAACAATAAAACTAGCATCACGAATCAACAAAATAGACGGTTTGAACACAATTATGAATCGTTGTCCTCAAACGATATTTGTTACCACTGGAATAAGTGTTGGAAGGCTTTCAAAGGCAAATAGTACATAGGAGTAAACAAACCTTAATCCAAATTTGAATCAAACAAAAGACAAACTTGAAAAATAAACTTGAAGAAGAATATGAGAAAAGCTGATTTGATCTTTGATTTGGATACAAATGAATTGATTTGATGTTTTATGCTCGAAACGATGCCAAAAATAAGCAAAAAAATGTGTGAAGCCAACCATAATTCAAAACCCCAATTGACTAAATTTTGTATTGGACGATCACCTAGTACAAAATCGAGCAATCGCCCAATTCACCGAATAAGCCTCAATTTTGAAAACTTAAGGCCGAGCGATCATCTGGCCTCGCCCAGCCCCCCCTTTTTTTTTTTCGTTTTCGTTTTGCTTCATTTGGCTTTCGATTGTTTTTAATCACACCTCATCTTAATGTGAACAATATTCAAACACAGATCGTAACTGTACCTATCAAGATTACCTCTACTGCAACTGATTGCCTAGGAAGGATCATCAGGGATGTTTCAGACTGCTCCGTCTTGTTTTGAAATTGTGGGAGGAAGAGAGCGATTATCAGCAGAACTATATCCATTGCAATGATGGATTTATTTGGATGGAGCCAACTATATTTCAAAATTCTTTTCTTGCAGTACTTTGGTTAATGAAAACTAACACAGAATATGGACTCGACAGAGACAAGCGCGCGTTAGAACTTAAACCATTACGAACAATTGAGAAAGTAGATAATTTTCTGAACTTCATATTCTATATTCATATCACTGGTTAAAGTAACATTCTTATAATATCCCAGCAGTAGTGTATCTTGACTCAACCCCTATTGCTATTTTTGCGAGAGTCGAAAGGACTAAAAGGGAGAGGAAAGGCTTACATTATGGACTCAAAGAAGCAAAAATTAATGGCTGGGGATGATGTGATAGCAAGAATTTTTGTAATCTCATTTATATCAGGTCTATGCTGACACGCAAAGACCAACTATTTGAGCATGAGGATCTAAAAAACTTCCCACCATTTCTGTATAAGCCTTTGTGCATCTAAGAAATAAACTAAGAGTAAAATCAGACGTTAGCTAGAAACTTTTCCTACAGTCAATAATAGTAGCATCCAAAAGACCAAAGGACTGTACAGAAAAATTTCTTGCTGAATTAACATACAAAAAAAAAAACCCTTTAATACAGACCTCCCATTCTCATCAAACATGTACCAAGGCTTAATGCAGGTAAAAAGTTAAAAAAAAAAAAAAAAAAAAAAAAAAACCCTTAAATACAGACCTCCCCATTCTCATCAAACATGCACCAAGGCTTAATGCAGGTAAAAAGTTGGCACTGAACAATTTCACTAGTCATATCCATATTCTACCGGGGTAGGGCTCTCTAAAACTCTTGAAAACGCTTTGGAAACTACTCAAGATAAGTTTCTGTTCAACAATTACACTATATAGCTTATTCTCTGTCAGTTTTATTTGAGTTTCCACCCTCTTTGGTCTGCATCCATGAGCCTTCCATAATTAACTTCCCAACAGTGTTTAAAGAACTAAAATACGTCCTGGATTAACCTTAATGCTACTACACTCAATGGTATTATTGTCCTAGAATTTCTCAATTTGTTGTCTAAGTAGCAAACGAGCATACTATTCATTTATGAGCTGTAAAAGACATAAATGCTGCTGTCTTACAATCAAGTTATTAGCATCAATCATGCAATACATGATTGCTTCTCATTAATATGCAACTTAAATAATCACACAGAAAATAATTGGGACTTCCAAATTCCTATATTGAGCATCAAGAGAAATCATAAACCCTGTCACCAATAAGTCATGCCAACGCATGATAGGACAACTGTTTATGCTAATTGCCACAGGCGGAAAATCTTTTCCTGCCATTGAAGTAGATGATAATTTAAATGAATATAATTGTCCACCCTCTAACAACTTGAGCTTTTTGATGAGGTGGTACAACATTGTACCAAAACAGATAAATGTCCTGAATTCATATCTCGCCATCCTGTTTACAGAGCTTGTGCATGTATCCTGCCTTCTCGTGATAGGTGTGAAAAAGATGGTTTAAAAAATTAATTTTTTTGCAGCCAAAACAACCTAAGCTTTTATACGAGGTGATTCAATTGTCAAGATATATCTTTACATTTGAATTCAATAAACCAGTTAACAAGCACATAGCAGATTGCCAAACTGTCCTGCATTCACAAACTCCTTAATACATCCATACCTCCTTTGAATTGAAGACTTGAGATACTCCGTATTCTCTATGATTTTTCATAATAAACCTAGTTTCCATTTATCACTTGTTATGGTTTTTTTACCTTTTTAATTAGGAGTTCCTCTTTCAACATGCCCGGAATGAGCAAAAGGATCGGGGACCTTCAACCTTTCCATACAGCATGCAGAAAACCGCGATTAACTTAAGATGGACCATTACTAGCCATGCTTAGTAACTTCCAAGAAGCATTCTTCACTAAACACATATAATAAAATACAGTGAAAGAGTCCCCAATCTTATCCTTGAATCTTGACATATTAATCCTAGCAAAAACCGGCTTTCATAGCCTTGTCTTTAGGGGTTTATGAGAGATTGAGTGGTGGATCCAAGAAAAATTTATAAGATTGTACCTAAACCAAAGCCTGGTGGTATAGACTGAATTAAGAGAGCAGGGATTAAATCCAAGACCAAGAAAGCGGGCTATACTGATGCCCGAGGTTTAGCTTAACCTCATTTAGTATAAGCTCAAGAAAAAAGAGGGCTCTAACCACGTGATCAATCCATAGGTATAAGTATTATTTGAGGTATAACATGCAGGATGCATTATATTCTCCAGATAACATGAATATCTAATTGATAATAATCATCACGTGAACATAACTAAAAGGAAAATAACTCCAAAAACCATCTTTCCATTCTTAATCTCCCCCATGAATCACAAAGTTAAGAGCAACTGTTCAAAAAATTTCCGATCATCACATGGATTTGGCCAGAAACAATGCAATATAATATGTCACAAAATTTAATTGAATTGTAATAGTAAAACACATAGCGGATAATGAAGAGAACACTACTACCCACACCTAAAGACACACTCTGCTTCTCTTAAATATAGGTTCCAGTGAAGATGAAATAGATGACCCTACCGCCCACGAATCATTAGAGCTATCAGAGCAAAAATATGCATCGACAATGCCTTTTGGACTGCTTATGGTAGATTTGTGTTTGCGCTTTTGGCAAGGTCTGTGGCCATGATCTTCCAATACCTCCAGGATTAGTTTATCACAATCATCAATTCTTTCCTGTTATAATTCATACAAGAATTTACCTATCAAAAAAAATAATTCATACAAGAATTTATGAAACTAAAACACAAACTGGAAATCTTCAGAATTATGTATGGACTCAAAAAGTAAAAAGCTAACCTTGCTGATTCTTAGCACACTCATAAGCTGATTTTGGTATTCCATTGCATTACATGGTTCTATTTCTCGAATCACATATATCATTGTTGCACCAGCTATAACAGATGGAAGATAATGCACAAGCCTAGGATCTGTATTCGGCGGACGAAGTTGACAAATATATAAACGAACATATTTAAAATGATATATAATTCATAACAGCAGTATCAAAATAACTGATCTACATACCGATTATAATAGAGAGAATCAGGCTCTCACACCTTGTCAAAAACTCCCAGTGAAGGTTAGTCATCAATTCAAATCTCCTTGCAATGTGATCACAGAACGAAATTGGAGTCACAGGATTCATATTCCACCGGAGAGTAGATAACACCAGAAGCTCCATATTCTGAATAGTCTTTGAATCGAACACATATTTTGATTCTTCCACCTAGATAACACCAAAGCAAAATCCAAATCATTAACCAAACAAAAGATTCAAAAAACAACTTCTGATTCCGATGTTGCTCATGAAAGGCCTGTATTGTAGGTTTTTAAGAACATTATGCAATCAATCCTTACAGTTTTAACAGTATACTCAACCGAACATGTTTATTACAGTGATCTTTACCACGGAGTTTCTAACATAAAAAGAACCACACAATGCATTTTCGCAAACAATTACAATGCGAAAGTATAAACAGAAAAATGAAGAAATGTCAATAAAGCAACATACTTGAAGGTCTAACAGAAGAGGCACTTGAGTTTCCTCCACCTTAGCAGCTATAGAAAGACAAGCTACGGCAGCCAATTGACTCATCCATGGCTTCTCTTTCTGAAAAGAAGAGCTTGTAACAAACCTATCATAATAATTCACAGCTAAAACAGCAGTATTCGCATTGAATCCATAGTGGGCAATCACCTTCGCGATCCACTTAACAGCTTCTTTCCTCATTATTTTCAGTGACCCATCAGATTTTATTCCATCAATACTCAAATGGGCCTGTGTTTTCTCCCTAGACAAGAGTCTCACAAGCTCATCATTTTCCCAAAACAGGTCATGCTCAAACAGAAAAGCCAAGGGCTTTTTAGAAATTTCATCAAAATCTCCAATTTCTGAATTGTTGAACCCAAACCCACCTCCCAAATCTTCATTAAAACATTCTTCCTCACAGAAAAGGGCATCAAAAGCAGGATTCTGGACACGTGATTCTTGATCTTGAGAAAAGGAAATCATCTTGCCCTTCTGAGAAGAAGACACTAATAAAATCTCTGTTAATGCTTATCAGTTTATGCATCTTTGGCAAAGTACATATTTTCTTCCATTTTTCATTTTTTTCCCCTCTCCCACTCTGCTGAACTGGGAAGCGAGAAACGAGAGTGGGCTGCGCCGCTGCGGCGTGGGGATTAAATACAGTAAATAATGTATACGGTATCACAATATACAGGCTGGTTTGTCTTAATATCAGTTTTTGGTGGAAAAAAATGGTAAATGCAAAATTCATAAGTTTAGGATTTTAAGGTTAAAGCAATGATTGTAATAAAATCTCATCGATATTCTGAAGATTAGGTGAAATTTTTGTTTTTTTAATCAAAAAACATCGATTGAGTTTGATATCTCCACAACCAAGAAATAGTGCATTAACCTACACATAAACACGCTTGAGAGCCCACAAAAAAATCACAAGAAAACTACAAATGAAAAATAAAAACCACGTCTTCAGAACTTAGAATGAGTCCTTACAACCTTTGAATTGTTGTTATATTTAATCGGTTGTGTATGGAGTGAAATCGGACTCTCATATACCTTATTTGTGTTTTAGACACTGGATTCACACTTACCGTATTTAACAATTGCTTATCATATTTGGCAGTACAACTCACCGTATTTGACAGTGCAACTCATCATATTTGACAATGCAACTCACTGTATATGACAACTTACTGTATTTGCAGGCGAAGCTCACCGTATTTGTACAAAAATTTTGCACAAATTATTTTTATTCATACACTAACTAAAATAATACAAATTTTTTCACTTACAAATAGAAATACCGTACATATGAAATCTATTTTTCACACATATAACGAATTAGAAAAAAAAACAGTTTATTTAATTTATCCATTTTTAACATAAATTTCAAGTATGTTGCAAATTAGATAAATAAATCTGTAAAACTGCAAATTAAATAAACAGCAGATATAATTTCAACTTGAGGCCTGTGTAAACACAGTTTCCTTAAAACAAATTCACCCCCTCACCGCAATGCTAGAGGTTTAGTTCGAGCGCCTATCTCCCAGGATACAACGATAACCAGCAAAATTCGAGCACCATGATTCCACTCCGACGAACTAGGCAAGTGTTTGAACAATATCACCTTACTGATCGGAATGAGACGGAACAAAACAGAAAACAGGCTGGAATTTTGCAGACAAAAATTTCAATGTTTGAACAGTTGGAGATTAAGTGAATTATATAGACTGAATCTGACCCTCAGTTTTCTGCATTAACTATTGCAGTCTTTGGAGTAACATTTCGATTTCGACCATTGGAGTTTTAGAAGTTTCAGACACTCAAAAGTCATTTGAAAAAACCACAAAAAAATTGCAAAACGCAGACAATCCAAATTGGCCAGTTTTTGCTCCGTTCGATCTGACATTCGTGTGCAGGTCGCGCCCACACCCAAGTTCAAGGTCCAAAGGCTATTTCTGTCCATGATTTGCACCCCCCTGCGCGTGCACGTGGAGAGAGCCTCTATACTACACATGATTACACCATTCCAATGCATAGCTATATATAAAGTGGTTTTGGTTTCCATGTTTTTCCTATGTGGGACAAAGTTTTCCCACCAACATAGATCATTTCCAATGGTCCACTTTAGACTCCAATTTCTCATTCACCCGAACTTCATTTTTGGCAAATAAATACATGACTTCGATGTTCTCGCGGAGGAGAACACATATCAACTTAAATATTTCAAATTGGACCAATGGGTCCCACCAAAAATTGTGTTAAAAGTGAGTCAATTCACTCATTTTTCTAACAATCCCCCACATAAATGAAAATTGGGAGAGACCCGAAACGTGAGACATAAGTCTGGTGATAAAGTTCAACGGTTGAAGCCTGTATAGGATAGGTAGGTATTACCCTTTGAACCTTCTCTTGTGAAAGCATATTTACTTTACTGGCTGACCAGTAGACGTGTTGTCTTTGAACTGTTCTGCCGTTTGTGTAAATGATAATATACTTCACACAGGATTCTTCCTAACACCTTTCAGTTCTCATTATTATGCTCGTTTTGGCCATGAACATATGCCTGGTTCTGTGGAAGATTCTAAGAATTGAGCCCCACACAATTCTCTTAGAAGCGGCCTCACTTCTTTCTCACATAGGTGATTTTTTATTACAAGTAACCCGCATTACTTGGCACAATTTTCGACGCATAAGAATCATTAAAAGCTTATTGCTTAACCTTCATCCTTACGGGTATCACTGTTATATCATAGGAATGGATAAGATGTGATATCTCCACAGTGATTTTATCAAGTATTTACAGTTAGGTTGTCCCTTTGAACCTAGATCTTGGGATCTGCAGCCAACTAAGTTGGGTTTCCTTTGTAATAACTTATTCTTTCAAGGGCTTGAGTCCCATTCCTTTCGATAGTTTCCCAACTAACTCTCTATTTAACCCTTTGGTTAGCGGATCCGCAATGTTATCCTTTGACCTAACATAGTCAATTGTGAAAACTTCAGTTGAGAGTAGTTGTCTAATGGTATTGTGTCTACGACGTATATGTCTAGACTTATCATTGTACATGTTACTCTGTGCCCTTCCTATTGCTGATTGACTATCACAATATATGCAAATTGCAAGCACAGGTTTGGACTATCTTGGAATATCCTCTAAGAAGTTGCGCAACCACTCGACCTCTTCACCACATTTATCTAGGGCTATAAACTCAGATTCCATTGTAGATCTGGCTATAACTGTTTGTTTAGAGGATTTTCATGAGATGGCAGCACCTCCCAAAGTGAACACATATCCACTGGTGGATTTTGAGTCTTTTATATTAGATATACAATTAGCATCACTGTATCCTTCAATGACCGCTGGATGTCTGGTGTAGTGTATTCCATAGTCACGAGTATATCTTAAGTACCTCAGTACTCTTATTATACCTTTCTAATGATCATTTCCTGGATTACTCGTATATCTACTTAATTTACTGACTGTGTAGGCTATGTCTGATATTGTACAACTCATTAAGTACATTAGACTTCCAATAACTCTCGAGTATTCTACTTGAGAGACACTTTCACCTTTGTTTTTAGAAAGATGTTGACTCATATCTATAGATGTTCAAGTCAAGCCAGTATCATCCTTGTTGAATTTTTCCAAAATTTTGTCCACATAATGTGACTGGCTTAGAACAAGCTCATCTGATATTCTTGAGATTTGGACTCCAAGTATAACATCAGCTAAACACGTCTTTCATATCAAATCTCGAATTTAATATATTTTTAGTGGATTCAATCATCTTATTGTTACTTCCAACAATAAGTATGTCGTCAACGTAAAAACATAAAATGACATAGCTATCTTTAGTGTCTTTGACGTAAAAACATTTGTCACATTCATTAATTTTAAATCCACTCTCTATCAAGACATTGTCAAATTTTTCATGCCACTGTTTTGATGTTTGTTTCAAACCATATAGTGACTTCACCAGTTTATAGACTTTCTTTTCCTGTCCTGGTGACGAAAATCGCTTGGGTTGTTCCATATAAATTTCTTCTTCTAAATCTCCATTTAGAAAAGCCGTTTTAACATCCATTTGATGTACTTCTAGATTTCGCAAAGCAGCAATCGCAAGTATCACCCTAATAAATGTTATTATCGTTATTGGAGAATACGTATCAAAGTAATCAAGGCCTTCCCTTTGTTTGTAACATTTTATTACTAATCTGACATTGTACTTTTCGATAGTTCCATCTGCTTTCATTTTTCTTTTGAAAATCCATTTGTAGCCTAGTGGTTTGCATCCAGGAGGAAGATTCACTAACTCCCATGTATGATTTTGCAGTATGAAATCTATTTCACCTTTAATGGCATCTTTCCATTGAGGTCCTTCCGAGGAATTCACAGCTTCTTGATAGTTTTGAGGTTCACTTTCTAGCATATAAGTCAGAAAATCAGGACCATAAGACTTTTCTGTCATTTCCCGTTTGCTGCGTCTAACCTCTGTCTCCTGTTCTAATTCTTCGTCCTGACTATTTTCAATCATTGTCTCATATGTTCATTTAGAGGAGCTGGCTTCCTCTTTGAACTTGTATGAAAATACTTTTTCAAAGAATGAAGCATTCCTCAATTTCATTATCGTGTTTTTATGTATGTCTGGAATTTTTGAATCATACACAAGGAATCGATAAGCACTACTATTACGTGCATAGCCAATGAAGACGCAGTCTATAGTTTTCGGGCCTATTCTTACCTTCTTTGGTGTTGGAACAGCCACTTTTGCAAGACACCCCCACACTCGCAAGTGTTTATAGCTAGACATTCTTCATTTCCATAACTCATAAGGGGTCTCTCCCGATTTCTTTTGGGGCACCTTATTTAAAAGGTAATTTGCTGATAACACAGCTTCTCCCCTCATGTTTTGAGGTAATCCAAAACTTATTAGCATTGCATTCATCATTTCTTTTAAGGTACGATTTTTTCGTTTAGCTACACCATTTTTTTGCGGTGAATAAGGTACGTTAGTTTCATGTATGATTCCGTATTGTGTACAGAAATCAGCAAACGGTGCTCCATACTCACCACTTCGATCACTCCGTAGTATCTTAAGTTTCTTATTAAGTTGAGTTTCAACTTCATTCTTATAAAGAACAAATTTCTCTATAACTTCATCCTTGCTTATAAGCAGATACAAATAATAGTTTTTTGTGCCATCGTCGACAAAAATAATAAAATACTTGTTGTCACCTCTTGTTTGTACAAGTTTTAAGTCACAAACGTCACTGTGAATTAAATCAAGTGGTTCTGTATTCCGTTCAA